CTGGAACGGAACCCAGGGCCTTCTGCGTGTAAAGCAGACGTGCCAACCGCTGCTCTCACTACGGAACCACACACTCACGGTGTTCGAGTCAATACAGTAAGAAATGTTTATAATTATTTGACTCAAAGATAAATTTGGTAGGTGCTTGGGGGTTTCCTGGTGCTAAATTCCATTCCCCGTGCACCTCATTCACGGGTAAGTTTGAAATAACCTCCAATAGAATCATTGTGAACACACAAGAAAAAATTCACTAAAACCACATTATTGACCCAATGAGCACTTCTATGTCCTTCACTCATTCCAGGATTATGTAAGGCTGCCCTTGCTCTTCTTGTCATCAATCCTCTGCGCCTTGGTCACTGCCTTCTCTTGAATCCCTTTTTCGGGGACAGCGCCGACAGTGGTTCTCAACCTTCTGGCCCTTTAAATACAGTTCCTCATGTCGGAGCCTCTTAGTTCATTGGCAGACAAACGCCAAGGCTGTCATCCTTGGGCCGGCCTATGCAAATGAGGTATGGAAATGAGACTCTCCTATTGGTTATGTGCCTGAGTCTGTTCCTAGCTAATCAGACACTCCGATTTGCTCCCAGGACCTGCCTATAAAAACGGCCATGTTCCCCCTATTCCCAGAACTGGTCTGCTCGGGCGAGTGTCCATTTTTCCTTTTTGCAAAGACTTATTTTTAATTTCCTAATGTCCGGACGCGGAAAGCAGGGCGGCAAGGCGCGCGCCAAGGCTAAGTCTCGCTCCTCGCGGGCCGGACTGCAGTTCCCCGTGGGCCGCGTGCACCGGCTGCTCCGCAAGGGCAACTACGCCGAGCGCGTCGGGGCGGGCGCGCCCGTGTACCTGGCGGCCGTGCTGGAGTACCTGACGGCCGAGATCCTGGAGCTGGCGGGCAACGCGGCCCGCGACAACAAAGAAGACGCGCATCATCCCGCGCCACCTGCAGCTGGCCATCCGCAACGACGAGGAGCTCAACAAGCTGCTGGGCAAGGTGACCATCGCGCAGGGCGGCGTGCTGCCCAACATCCAGGCCGTGCTGCTGCCCAAGAAGACCGAGAGCCACCACAAGGCCAAGTGAGGAGCAAATGGCAACATCTAAACGAAAGGCTCTTTTCAGAGCCACCCACGCCTTCACTAAAGAGCTTGCTTGTGTTGTGTTGTAGAAGGTATGTGAAATGTCCAGGAGCGGCCAGATCGTGGGAGCTGGGTTAAGATTTATTCATATATGGAAAAAAGAACAATGCTGGAAGGAAATTGTAACCCATTCATAACCCTGTGCATCTAAAACAGCTACAGTGCAGTAGTAGTTCCAGGCCTAAGTAGTGCAGTGCCCAGCTGTTTCTCGAGGCCTCTGGGTGGCTCTGAAAAGAGCCTTTGGGTTTGGTGGCCTCTCAGGAGGCAAACATCCTACTTCTTTTTCGGGGCCGCCTTCTTAGTCTTTGCAGACTTGGGTTTGGCGGTCTTGGGTTTGGCAGGTTTGCCCTTGGGCGCCTTGGGCTTCACAGGCTTGGGCTTGGCAGGGCTCTTTGCAGCTTTCTTAGGCTTGGCGGCGGGCTTGGGCTTCTTGGGGCTCTTGGCCACCTTCTTGGCGCCGGTGGCCGCAGGTTTCTTCGGCTTCTTGGGGGTCTTCTTCCCGGACTTCTTGGCGGCTGTCGCTTTCCTGGGCTTCTTGGGGGTGGAGCCCGCGGGCTTCCTGGGCTTGGCCGCGCCCGCCTTCTTGGCCTTGGGCTTGGCCTCCCCGGAGGCCGCCTTCTTGTTGAGCTTGAAGGAGCCCGAGGCGCCGGTGCCCTTGGTCTGCAGCAGGGTGCCCTTGCTCACCAGGCTCTTGAGGCCCAGCTTGATGCGGCTGTTGTTCTTGTCCACGCCGCCGGCTTCTTGGCCGCCTTCTTCTTGGCGGGGGACTTCTCCACCGGCGCCGGGGCGGCGGCCTCCGCGGGAGCAGTTTCCGACATGGCGCTGAGAGTCGCTGGGAGAGCAGACAAGATTCAAAACCAAAGAGGGAGGTTGGCGACGGCCCGCTCGGGCCCGGACTTATATAAGCCGGTGCTGTGCTGTGATTGGTGGGGGCCGGCTTCTTGGCCGCCTTCTTCTTGGCGGGGGACTTCTCCACCGGCGCCGGGGCGGCGGCCTCCGCGGGAGCAGTTTCCGACATGGCGCTGAGAGTCGCTGGGAGAGCAGACAAGATTCAAAACCAAAGAGGGAGGTTGGCGACGGCCCGCTCGGGCCCGGACTTATATAAGCCGGTGCTGTGCTGTGATTGGTGGGGCGCCCAATCCACCGCCCTCGGGCGGCCGCCTCTAACGGTTGGATTTACAAACTGTTTCTTAATCCCAAAATTCTGGTTAAATGTTCAAAACTGGGATACAGAATGTGACGCTTTGAAGCTCCAAGGGCGGAAAACAGTCTCCCGGCTCGCTTCCTCGTGTTTTTATGCTTCACAAACGGATGAAGATATTTTTTAAAATCGCTACCATTTTGCATAGGAGTCCACCTGGCTTAGAGTATCGCGCTACTTGGTTGCATGTGGCAACAAATTTCTACTAAGTAACAAGGGAGCCTTTTTTAAAAGCTTTGTCCCTCAGTTTGGCCTTTGATTTTTACAAGAGGAAAGACGCTAGGTTCCTTGGTCTGGATAGAAACTTTGTTTCTAACTGTAGCAAGGAACACAGGTCTCGGGGCACCTGGTCACCAGGTAGCCCTGACTCTGAAACCCGATTCTGCTTCCTAGGAGTTTCCATGAGCCTACGTCTTTAGAGGCAGGTATTTTGCAACTTGGAAAAGTTCAGTTGCACCAGGAAAAAGATAAATTACTTTGGCTTCAGAATCAAAAGACATAGATTCAAATTCAAACTTGAATTTGGTATGTTTTTTATTGAGATGTGTTCTTTCTTTAGTCCCTACCCAAATCTATTAAAATAATGATTAAAAAAAATGTTTAGTCCAGATAATGTTTTAGAAAAAACTCTGGAACTTGCCAAAAAAAAATTTATTCAAGGGCTTCAATCGTTTCAAAAGCACACATGAGACTTTGTCCATTTTCAAGGTGCTTTCTCAATGCTCTCAAACTACTGTCCAAATTCCACCTCTTCTGTTAGCAGACAGGAGACATCCATGTGGATATTATTGTGTTTAAGCAAACATAGACCTGTATTTTATAAAAGTAATTGGCAACTGACTATGAGAAAGGTGGACTGGGGATTTCCTAAACTCAGAAGAATTCAGGAAAACATTACCACCCATGGGAACTGAGGCAACGACCAGGAGGTGGGCATGGAGGGTGTAGAAGTTTGCTGTTTACTTGGAGGCATGTAGGATGGGGAATGACCCGGATGATAAGGGAGATGAAATGACTGTGACCTCTAACACAATAAACAGTAGTTAGTGTTCCCTGTGCAACACTGTAGCAAAATAGCCAGCACACTTCTTTCAGCATCCCTGGAGGTGGAACTATATAGCCACCGATGGCCATATCCGGCCAGTGTCTTGTTTTTGTAAGGCCCTCAAGCTAAAAGTGGTGTTTGGATTTTTATATTAGAAAAAATATGTGACAGTGACCACATTTGGCTACCAAAATCTAAAATGTTTACTCTCTGGCCCTTTTGTTGTGTTTTGAACTCATCCATATAGACATGGATCATGGAATATAGTTGCAAGCCTGCCTCTTTCAGAACAATGGGAATTTTTTAAAAATCTTAACAAGAAAATGTTCTAGCCAAACACTTTTCACTGTTTTGATCACAAAACTTTTAGATCTGTGGCAGGAGTGTGTGTGTGTGTGTAACAGCCTCTATGCTTCAGGGGCAGGAGAGAGGTATAACAAGAACAGCTAATGTACAATGCACATTTACTAAGTGCCAGGAGCTAATCTAAGGATGCTCTACAGATTTTCACTCATTTGCCACATTTTATACCTACACAGGCTGAGAGGGAGAGAGAGAGAGAGAGAGAGAGAGGAAAATGGGTAACTTGTCAAAGGTTGTGTATCTAATCATTGGTGGCTCTGAGGTTTGAACATAGACCACCTGGTTCTATTATGATGGGGAAATCTGAGAAGGTGTGGAGAGAGGACAATCTCTGAAGCTCAGAACAGGCAGCACCAGGTGTCCCTACACCTGACAGCTTCTAGGAGCTCCAAGCTCTGCAGGAAGGGGCTTCGGCCCCATGGGTCAGGATGGTTTCTGAAGCATTCAGAGACTCTTCCAGTTTCCAAGAAGCTGATAGTTGGGATGTAAGGCGCTCTGGAAGGGCAAATACAAGTCCAAAAACAGGACGGGAAGGTCCCCATGCTGCCCTGGCTGCCCCGACTGAAGACACTGGAGAACAATTGCTTCCATATAACCTACCACCTCCTGGGGGGGAGATGCCCACCCCACAAGGAAAGCAGCAAAATGAGGAAAAGATAGACATATCTGAAGAGCATACTGGAGACTTTAAAAAGCTTGAAAATTGTATGAAATAAAGGGCCGAGTTCTGTTAAAAAAAACACAAAAACACACAACACAAACCAGAAAATCATGAGTGCACACAAGAGCTTTAAAAATTCCACCTCAGATATAGCCTATCACCTAGTGTGACCCTATCTAAAAAAAAAAAATCACAGACAAGGACATATTTAAAACACTTAGCAAAGACCTAGAAAAGTGTCAGCCGTCTTGCGAATTCATTTTACAAAGGACAGCCTACAGCCTGCAGGCCATCAGCCCACTGATCACATACACAAAGCTCAACATGACATTGAAACAAAAACCAGCAATATTTAGAACACTTGGGGCAATACTAGTTACTTCCTTAAGACAGGGAAGCAAAAGGGACCAATCTCTCAAGGACAAGGGACAAAAATGTTTGAAAAAATTAAAAGCGCATCAAAATTAGAAAAACCACAGCAAGCTGAACTTCTACACGTTTCTTACAGCCAAGTTATAACATGGCTGAGCTTTTGCAAAAAGTGCTTTTCCACAAAATGTTTCTCACGGCTGAGACGGAGCAGGTATGTGCCAGACACGGAAACGAGGCTGGGGTTGGGTTTATGGGGCGCTGCCAGCTGCTGGACGCCAGGGTATCCTTCGGGTGCATTACACGTGTCACCCGGGAAATGCGCTCAGAAACCCTTCCCACAGGGAACTTTTCCACAGGCTGCCAGGCAGTCTCTAGGCGCAACAGCCCTTCACTGATTAGAGTTGAGGGGCTCTGAAAAGAGCCTTTGGGTTTCGGTGCAAGTGGGCAGGACGGAGCTCACGCCCGCTCCCCGCGGATGCGGCGCGCGAGCTGGATGTCCTTGGGCATGATGGTGACGCGCTTGGCGTGGATGGCGCACAGGTTGGTGTCCTCGAACAGCCCCACCAGGTAGGCCTCGCACGCCTCCTGCAGCGCCATGACGGCCGAGCTCTGGAAGCGCAGGTCGGTCTTGAAGTCCTGCGCGATCTCGCGCACCAGCGCTCTTGCGGGCGGCCTTGGTGGCCAGCTGCTTGCGGGGCGCCTTCCCGCCCGTGGACTTGCGCGCCGTCTGCTTGGTCCGAGCCATGACTGAGGAACTTAGTAGCGAAGGAGAACCAGCCGTCCTGTATTTATAGCGACTCTCGCGCTCCGATTGGATGGTACCTGCTCCTCCCATTGCCTCCCCGCGGGTTTAGTTCTTAGTTTAGGAAACGTTTTCCCGCCTGTTCGCTGTCTGTGCTGATGTAAAAGAAAATATCTTAGTGACCTTTAAAAAGCCTCTAGGATGCATTAAAAATTCCTAAGAAAATGTGGTCTTGAGAATCTGAAAGCTCCTTGTACTGGTTTAAATAAAAGATGTCCTAATGGGATTCTTGTCAAAACTGAGCATGAAAGGGAAATCATTTAAACGGGGGAACTGTGGTTTCAACTTCTCATCACTGTGTCGCCCGTCTTCAACCTGAGCGGGCTTAGTAGTCGCTCGGAGAGCTTGAGAACACAAGGGCCGGTCAGCTTTTCTGTAAAGGTGGTGATATTTACCGTCCTGGACACTAGCTTTCACTGAAGGTATCAGGACCGGCGGTGTGGGTTTCAGTCACCCGAGACTGCCACAGCCTCGGGTATGGGCACGCTGGGCATGGGGAGGGGCAGGGGTACCCAAATGCACTTAAACTGTTTGGGGCAAGTTACACCATCCAAGTCCCTCAGCGGTTAATAATTCAGATTGCACCTTTACCAGTTAAAAATGCAAATGCACCTTTACTGGTTAATAATGCAGATTTTGTAATCAAAGAGAACACGATCATTTCAAGAGAAACATCAAAAGTGCTTTGTTCAATGTAATGTCCATCACTAGCTCCACATTTCCCCCACCTTTAGGTAATTTGTGGAGACAGTCCCAATAGAACTTTTCTTGTTTTGAGGCAACCCATGCAGAGACCCAACTGTCCACTTCTTTGTATGTGTTGAAGTGCTGCTCAGGAAGTGCGTGTGCCATCGCTTAGAACAAGTGGTCATCTGAAGGAGTGAGGTCTGGTGAACACGGCAGATGGGTTCATACTTCCCAGGCAAGATCTTTTAACGTGTCTTTAACTGGTTTTGAAGTGTGTGATGGTTCGTCATCACGGAGCAAAATTACTTTGCCATGTCTTCTGGCCCATTCTGGTGGTTTTACGATCAAAGCGTGGTTCAAATTGATTATTTGTTGTCAGTAGCAATCAGTATTAACGGTTTCACCTGCTTTTAGAAGCTCATAATACACTACACCTTCCTGATCCCACCAAACGCAGAGCATTGTCTTCTTTCCCAACCGATTTGGCCTTGCAGTCGATGTTGTTTGTTGACCTGGGTCAACCCATGATTTTGTGCATTTGGGATTCTCAACATAAATCCACTTTTCATCACCAGTCACAATTCGATGCAAAAAATTCTTTCTTTTGTGGGGTTGAAGCAACATTTTACTGATGACTTTTCGGTTTTCCATTTGTCTTTAGTTGATGTGGCACCCACTTTCCTTCCTTTAAAATCTTTCCCATTGCTTGTAAACGATCGAAAATTGTTTGCTGAGCAACATTTAATCTTCCTGCAAGTTGTTTTTGAGTTTGACATGCATCTTCATCTAATAATACTTATAATTGTAGGTCTTCAAACTTTTCGGTTGACCTGGACGTTCTTTGCCTTTCACATCAAAATCATCACTTTTAAAGCGTTTAAACCAGCATTCACAAGTATCTTGAGATGGAGCATGTTCATCATAAGCTTACTCAAGTATAGGA